ATAAATAAGAGTTTTTGCATTAAAACATGTTACATTATATCCGCCACATTTTTTGAAGCACCCATTATACTCAAAAATAATATTTGAACTGTGTCTCTTAAGATTCTCTATACCCTTTTTTTTTGAATTCCCAAAACAAACGAGATAATTAACTTTATTTATTTCCTGATATCTCATTTTATAATATTTCGGAAGAATCAATCAGGTATCTTATTTTTATAATTATTAGAAATAAATCGGATTTAAAGGATAAGAGATATGTAAGTGTATACCATACGATAAAAAAACGGCGTCAGAGGTGGCTTGGAAATGAATATCGATGTCATATATTTGTACATAAACAAATAGACGCCGTTTTTTTTCGCTCATACCATATAAGAAAACAAATTTAATAAAACAAACGCATTTATTAATATATGTATATAGATTTACATGGTATGAAAAATTCGCATTATAATCTCTGAAGGTCCTACCATGGTCCCAACAATGGTTGGTTAAAGTGGCGAGTACGACCACTTATCAGTCACACCTATAATAATTTAATAAAATATACATATAATAAACAAACTTATTTCTTTTAGATTTTTTAAAAGCGAGTTATATGTGTTAAGTGGTTTTTGATTATTTTAGACTAAATTTTTTAGACATATGATTATTTTAAACCAAATTGTCTGCCCACTCAAACGTCTTTCAAAATTATAATGTAGGAAATTCTTAATATGTTTTAATTGGGAATACTTTTAGAAAGTTTCATTTTCACCAAACAAAACTACGTATGTAATCAACTATAATGCATGATATATACTGGTGGCGTCAAAACTAGATGTTGGGTTTTTCTCGATTATTTCAAAGAGAACTCCACATTTTATGACATAAACGTAGTTTTCTCCAACTTTGTTTTGAAAAATAATTTTTAAATCCAAATAATCGATATTTATACAGTAATGTCCTGTTTTGGAATACATAATTATTTTCAGCTGCAGCGATAAAATAAATAATATTTACTGATACGCTAAGTAAAAAAATAATTAGGAAATTATTTTAGACATCTAATTCTTAATTTTTGTCGCTGATAAATATGTAGATACATCACTTTTAACGACAAACCTACTAATAAAAATTGCGAAAAACAAATCATGTTTATTCTCAAAGAGACAATTATTGAGAACAATCCAATAACTATTAATCTGGGATATAGATCTTAACAAAACAAAAGTTGGATAAAAGATTTGTTGATTTATGATATAAAATACAGTGTTCCATTTGAAATAGCAAAGAAAAATATAATATATAGTTTTGACTCATCCTGTATATAATACAAAAAAAATAATATAAAGAAAATTTAATCATATAAATAATTTAGGAATTTAGCATATTTTTATATAATTATATGAAGAGAACATTACCTTAAATTAGTTCCAGTAAAAAACTTCCATATTACTTATTTTTAACTTAGAAAGGGCTTTAAATATATATTTTATTATATAAACAAAAAAATTTAATCCAAAAATGGTCAAAATGAACTCTATACGATTACGACATTATAGTATTTTCTGGAATGACAATTTTTTGACAAATTCACCAAGAAAAAATAAAAAATATAGCTTTTCTTTTGACAAACTATACAACTCTAAAGTAAATATGTATTTAAATCTACGAATCATCCTGTATATCTATAAAAATACCTCCCTGTCAAATTTACGCTACTTTTGCATGCAAGCATACCTATTTTACAAAAATATGATTTGAGTGAAAATATAAAATAGGAAATCTGATATGAAGCTTTATCTAAACACAGGGTTGAGTGTAGATAAACAATATTTTACGTTATTAATTAAGAAAAATTATAAAATACACAATATATCTGACAGTTCCAAAAAAGCAAAGTAAGAAATGAAACATAATTTATAGCATAAAATCAGTATTTTTTAAATTTTTAAGTCAACTGGCCATTATCGTTTAATCTATCTATCAATCTATCAAATTTAATGTTTATTATTAAACTTATCTCAGACTCTCTATGAGGTAAAACTCTAAGATAAAAACTCTAAAAACCAAGAGTGATTTAAAACAAATTTATATGAATTTAGAAATAAATATGAACAGTATTTACTCACCTGTAATACAGATACTTTTTGTTTAATTAAATATGTTTCAAAATATTATCCAGCAGGTACAAAATACACATTACACATCACGTAAACACAACACATAAAACTCATAAAATAATAGTTTGTAATCCAAATATTCAAAAATACTGTTTCGTTTCTTCGCGAGGGACGAAAAAATTTATTTTTTTAATTATTTAGATATGCATTAAGGTATATTTCAACTCAAAAGCTTATAAATAATTATTTTTTAAGACATAACCTAAACGAAACGAAATCAGAAGTCCAGAAAGATAAACAAAACTGCCGAATTTAGAAACGAATATGACTTTTTTTCCTTTTTTCTTGTCACAGTTGAAACAAACAAGGATAAAGCTATTTTCGTAAAACATGCGTGAAACGTGCTAATAAGTAGCCCAATAGATGTGACCTCGCGCCCTTCCATTTTTGAACGATGGGCGGGTTTAACGGATTCCCCTCAAAGAAAATCGTAGGGGAATACAAAAATTCAGAACGGGCAAGGCGCCACCTAGAAGACGGGCTTGTACTAAGCCCTCATTGTACATCTATTTATACATAATCAAGGTTATTACTTATCTATATTTATCATTGTTATTACTTATATTACAATCGTTTTTGGTACCCGCAAGCTCATAGTATATAATTCTAATGTTTATCTTTTAAACGAACCGTTTTGTAAGCAATGAATCAAATCTCACGACCCTTAGTACTCACGTACGAACGAGCCGTAGAAACCATCAAGTTGCATTTTGATTTGCCGATTCATTTCCGACGAATCTTTTTTATGATTCGTTCGTTCAAATTTTATGGATCCGTGCTGGCTACGATTCAACTGAACGAACCATATTGTAAGCAATTAATGAATCAATTCTCACGATTCATTTTTAATACTCGTTTAAATGAATGACTCGTTCAATCTTTGCCCGCCTCTATAGGATAGGATATCCTTCATCATAGGAATACAAATATCTGCAAATGTTTACATGTAACATATGTAACTTAAAAAAGTAGAAAAAAAGACTCAAAGTCTCGGTTTTCTACTTTTTTAATTTGGACCAGGTCTCTTTGAGAAAAATGGATGCATTCTTTAAATATGTAACTTACAAAATGTTTTTTATTTTTCAATATTCTTCTAAGGCTTTATAGACCAAATATAAACAGAACGGTCGTAAAATATCAAATATTACCATTTATTACAGTTGAGGGTTGGAACCTTTGGTGTTACACAGCAAAATAAAACACTAAATTACCACAATACACCAAAACACTTTTACTTTTACACTGGACATGCGTTTCGCTAATCATGTTAGCATCATCAGCAGATGATTATAAACTAAAGTACAATCTACAAGTTGAGCGTTTATATACTCGCTCAGTAGGCACCGAGTGGGCGTGGCAAAATCTAGCCAACCGAGTCAGAGCCCACTGAGCGTAAAGGTCGATTTATAAATTGAAAACGGTGCGGTTCGATGTTGCGGTTGCGATTATTTCTATTGGCTATTACTAACGTTTCAAGGTCAACGTTCCTGTCGAAGTTAAAAATTGGTTAATTTTTGACGTACAACGTCAACCGCAACAACAACCGAAAAATTTATAATCAACAAAACATCCTGCGTATAAACAAACTTTTTACCGACCGTAACGTCGGGCGTCGAACCGCAACGTTTTCAGTTTATAAATCGACCTTAACAGTTAGATTTCCGCCACTAGAGTAGTAGGAACAAAGAACTTGAAGGAATTGGACCGTTGTCTCTGTTCATACTATCTTTACATTTATTAATTCTGATGCTTTCATATGCATCTAATTGCCTGTAATTTGAGACTTGTTTAATTAATTTTAAATTATTAAGATCTATACAATGTTCTTTATCAACAATATGTTCGGCAACGCAAGATTTATCCGGTCTACCATATCTTATCTGAGCTAAATGTTAATCTAGTTAATATTGATCTTCTAGTTTGCCCAACATATTTCTGATTACAATCTTTACAAGAAATTTCATAAATACCCTACCTTTCCAGTGGAGGTGTTTTATCCTTTGGATTACCTAATAATTGTTGTAATTTATTATTAGCACTATACACAAGTTTATAATTGACATTCTTAAAAATTCCTTTAGTTTATAATCATCTGCTGATGATGCTAACATGGTTAGCGAAACGCGCGTCCAGTGTAAAAGTAAAAGTGTTTTGGTGTATTACCATTTATATCTCATCTCATATAATACGCAAGGTATAGTTAAAGAGCAAAGAGTAGGTAGACTATTAGAGAATAGATGGTTCTTATCTACTCTTCGGTTTAGTTCCCGTGTCTAAAGACGAACCCACCGCATCATCAATGATCCTCAATGACTTGAGATTGCTGAAAGTTTGTTTTTGGAGATAGAGTTGAATTAGTGACGCTTTGCGTGCACGTGATTCTTTGGTTTTAATTTAAGCTCCGACATGTCCTCCTTTTTATCTTTAGCTGCGACTATATGTCAGATATGAACCAGACCGGCACTGGCGAAATAACAAGGCCAGCCTGCTGTGACGTAAAAATCTCGTGACGTCATGAACTGGAGGCGTAACTCTAATTAGCAGCGTTGATAATAACCCGATAAAAGTTCAAATTGTGGATCTTTTTTCATGCACTGAAAATACTAGGGCTCTTAATTTGTTTGTTAAGATGACGCCTACAATGCACTGACAATGACAGTGCCGTAATTAAGAGTACTAACCTGTTTCAACTGACTTCAGAAAAACTATACAAATTGTATTTTTCCTTAAAACATTTTTTTCAAATATAGTTTATATAACAGATTGAATTACTAGTTTTATTTTTTCTGTGTCTCGTCGTGGAAGAAATGACAAATAAAACAACAGAGCTAATTTCAGAATACCTATTTTATTTCAGTATTTTCATAGACTTTTCTTACATTAGGTACTGATGAAAAATTCGACAAAAATTCGTATTATTTTAATCCTAATAAAAAAAAATAAACATTATACTGGGTGAAGCTTTTTACCTGAGTGTAAAAAAATACAATATATCTTTTCTTTGTGATATATATGTATAATGTGAAAATGTCTACCACTTTAAAGGCATTTGTGTTTTGTAGTATCTGTCTATAATATAAATCAACTAGAACGTTTCTTTGGTAGGCTTTACTTAAACATCTAGTTTTTATGACTAGTTAAATAATATCACTCAGAAAATTACCACTTTGCCCATTTCTTTGTTAATTAAAACATAGCAAGCAAAGTTAACAAAAACTTTATAGACCTAAAAATAAAATTTTCACAAGTTATACAAAAAAGAACGTAAAAGAAAAACAGTATCCGTTTCTTCCAAAACTCTTTAAACGGTTTTAAAGATAATGGAAAGTGTTCAAGATAACAGTTTCCTCTTTATTTCAATATTAGCCAAAAGCTGTAGAAAATAATAACATTTATGTAAAAAATAAAATTAAGATTATGATTTATAACTGACCAAGTTTAATTTAACAAAAAAGTGTTCCAAATAATTGAGACAGAAATATATTGTCAGTAAAGTAATACAGCTTATGACTAATATGATAGAATAAATTATCTACATCTTGAAAAAATAAATAAATTTTCAAAAGTTTTACAAAACATAAATACATATTACTAAACTAAATGAAATTACTGTCAAATGTTCTATACGGAATATGTATATGGAATAAGACAGTTCAAAATGCAAAAAAGAACTAGTTATGTTCTCTAAATTACTTGGAAATTTCTTAACCAAATAGGAACTAAAACAAAATGCTTTGACAATAATTTCGGAAACAATTTTAAGTAAATTAAACAACTTACATTTCTTTCAGTCTTTGGTATAAATTTTAAATTAGAATAAATAAAAAGTAGGTATATACACGAAACTATATCTACAGTTTGTTTGCCAAAGTACTGATAAACAAAAAAAATTGAAAAATACTACAGCAATCACTCTTTTATGACTTAAGCTTAGTGTTAAGTCCTAGAGAAATCAGTACAAAACTGTGATTGATTTTATATACAAAATCTTACAAAAAAAGATTGATAAGAATATCAAACATTTCCTATATCTACACTCCAAACCGATTGTAGACGTACTGACTGCTGACCCCGTCGCCTAGATTCTCTATCGACTCATCTGTTGGGTTCATGATATTGAACAAAATTGCGAAAATCGTACAGGCTGCGTATACTCCTAAGGCTATCCACCAAAGGAGCTGCTCGTGGAGTTTTTGCTCGAAGTTTTTCAGAACCAAAAGTCCTATGGTTAAACCCGCTAGCGCTCCAGTTAGATGAGCTACATAGGAAACAGGTAGTTGTTCTTTGGCCTCCTCGGCATATCGTGAGTAAATGGCATATCCCACATCACAAGATGCTGAAACAAAATAAAAAATGTATTACATACGTTTTCATTAAAACTCATTTATTTGTACTACAGATTATTAATACACAGTTTAGTATTAGTATGTTTTGAATATATTTGAGAGTTTTAGATGGAGACAAAATATCCATCAGCAGATACAGCGAGTTTTATACAGGGTGGCGCCTCTCATACGCAGCGGAGGTTCCAAGGAGTACGACACTTTGTATTGAAATTAAATTTTGTGAGCATATGTAGGTTAATTCAGAGCACTTTTTAAAAATATACAGGGTTCTACAGGGTGTCCCCCAAAAAAGCTACATATCAAAGTTTTTTTTAATGGAACGCCCTATATATTAATTGATTTTCGGATTCTAGGAGACAAATAAAGGTGAGTTTTATAAGAGAAGCATATGACAAAAATGTAAGGTTATTGACATATTTAACATTTTCTAGAAATAAAGAAAACATTTTAAATTACAATAAAAGCTACCAAATTAGAATTTACCCGGTATAGCCTAATATGTAGTTAAATTAACTATTGTACTTTAAACCAAATTAAAAATTGATCCAAAAAGTTATACAGGGTGAGACAAAATTAATATTGAACATTGGTCACCTTTAAAAGCATATGTTACTCTTTTATTTTAAACGGAACACCCAGTATATTATTCCAAAGTTCAATGAAGAATTCGTGTCTCTTCAAAATACTATTAAGGTTGCCTACCTGGATATTTTCATTTACATGATTTGATCTGAGTAACTGAGTAGATCTTTATTATTTGATTAAATGTAGGTGGCTGTGATATTTCTGACACTACTTCAACGTAGCTGTCGAATTAATCCAACATTAACAACTAGTTATTATTTTATATCATCACAATTATCCTACATCAGAGAGAATTGATGTGATTCTGTTAGTTGGTCAATGCACACTGCATTCACCATTAATAGAATACTTAAATGCTCCTGATTTTATCTAGTCTGTTTTTTTATGGGGATATGCAGGGCCTATTTTTCATATGGCCCTAAGGCACAAGCGAAAATTCGGGCCCTCTTTTCCAATAAATTCAAAAATTCTCTTGTTAGTTTGGATTAAAAAAATAAAACAATTATTTTTACTTTTTTAATAATTTAAAAAAATAAATAAACATTATTATATTCAACAAAATAAATAATACAAAAAAAAATATATCAATCTAAAGCTTATTTTATTTAATTCTATTTTTCTTATCAGAGGTAACTGTTTTTTTTTCTCTGTTATGTAAATTTACATTTAAAATTATGAATATTTTACAACCCTTAACGGGCCCCCAGACCACCGGGCCCAAGGCCCGGGCCTTATCGGCCTTATGGTAAAATAGGCCCTGGGGATATGTTAAAGACAGCGTTTACAAACCTCGACCAACTATTGTCGACAACATGAAAGAAATTATTGTAGCTTCTCTTCGAGATAGAACTCCACATGTGCTTTTTAAAATGAAAAGATCCTTTTGAAAAGACAATCATTTTATGCAGTTAACGGGAAAGAAAGCATTTTGAGCATTTGATTTCATCTAGCTAATTTTTGTCACATAGTTATAGGTTTATACCTGGGATTAATTCTGTAATAATTAAAATATGTTTTAAATGTCTATCTTTTTATTACTGTTGAGTATTTTACTATACAATCTTTAATTTTTGTTAAATTAACAAAAGTTATACCACACAGCCACCCTAGATTTTTTCAAATAATAAAGATCTACTGACGCAAAATCATAAAAATTAAAATATCTAAGACAGTCTTTGTCTGAGGGGTAGGCACCTTAAGAATATTGTGAAGATATATAAAATCCCAATTGAACACCGGAAAAATATACTGGGTGTTCCATTTAAAATAAAGGAGAAACTTGCTTTTAAAAGTGACTAATCTTCCATATTAATTTTGTCTCATCCTGTATAACTTTTCGGGTCAAATTTCAATTTGGGTTAACGTACAATGGTTACTGTAATTAAATATCGGGCTACACAAGGTGAACTAAAATTTAGGTAGCTATTATCGAAATTTAAAAATTTCTCTTCATTTTCACACAATGTGAAATATGTCAAAATCCTTAGATTTTAGGTATATGCTTCTTTAATAAAACTCACATTTATTTTTTTCCTAGAATCCGAAAATCAATTAATATATAGGGTGTTCCATTAGAAAAAACACTATGTGTAACTTTTTTTGGGGACACCCTGTATAATTCTATATATTTTTATAACATGGTTTCAGTTAACCTACATATGCTGCCAAAATTTCATTTCGATATAAACTACCGTTCTCCTTGGAGCTTCCGCGGCGTATGAGAGGCGCCACCCTGTACAGTATGCTCTCACTCGCTTCAGAATTCAAAAAAGACGCCAAAATTATAAATCTGTGTAATGCATACAAACACCTTCTAGTGCGATGAGACAGTTATGTCTCATTTTAATTTACTGGTAAATTGTAATTTCTGTATTTTTTTATGTAATCTGTCGTAATATTCCCTGAGTCGTTGGACGGACTATACTTAGATATTTTAAATAAGGATCTGCTTCAAAATAAACTAGTCAAAACGAATTAGGGCTCACTTTGATAAATTTCGTTTAAACAAAGAAAATATATTTATTTCAACATATAAAGTTGGCAATATGTTCCTTAGGAATTAAATTTGAATGTAGTGTATGTACCTTGGTGTACATGGCGAAAAAAATTGTCAAACTGCTGAAAATTGTATTTTTATTACGTTATGAATGACTATAATATGTATCGAAAACGATACTAAACAATTTTTATCTTAATTCTCAACTGAAATATTTTTTTTCCTAATAATGTGTGTGTCCTCCGCGGTTTCTACGCACTTCTGCATACCGATTTGTCACAGACCGACTGAGGCTCCAAATAATCACTTGAGGAAAGGCGTTCCACCCCTCTCGAAGATTTTCTCCCAAAGTTTGAAGATCTGGTGGACAACTGGTGGACGTACGCCCATTTAAAGTTATACCTCCCTATACCATGACGGAACCTCCACCAAAATGAATCGCTTCTCTGACTGTTGTGTCCAGATACCGTTCATTCGGTCTTCTGTAAACTCTCCGCCGGACATCATTATGACTCAGTCGAAAACGGGACTCGTCCGTAAAAAAGAAGTGCCTCCACTGATCCACGTCCCAGTGAAGATGTTGAGCAAATATCCTTCGTGTCCTACGATGATTAGTAGTTAAATGCAGCACAACAACTGCTCGCCTTGATCGAATGTTAACTTCAGGCAGCCTGTTTCTTATAGCCTGAATTGAAATTCGAGTTCCTCTGGCGATCGTAAGAATATTGACAATTCAGTGACAATTCCATAGTCTGGAAATGACCGATTGTGTAACATGAAAAATCTGCGACATGTATCGTTGCGACCGACCCTCCTGCAATAAAGTTGTGGCTCTGATGATTTCTTCACTATTTAAACGCCTTTTAACACCGTTTGGTCTTCCGAAAATATCAAAATTTGCCATATTTAACACCATTTTGACGATCAAGAAGGCAAAATCACACTAAATAAGAAACTGATTTTATAGAATTTATGCGTTTTCGAGTGCGTCTTTATTGTTATTTTTTTATGACGGGAAATAATTTCGTTTTTGTATCAATTTATGCATGAAAATAAACAAAATTGTTCTGATGATATGCTGCTATAAATATACGGAGATCTGTCTATAAATATAATAAATACAGATGTAGATATATGTCATCCCTATCATTCGTTTTGATTAGTTTATATTATACAATTACTGTAACAAGTAATATACACCAACCTACCTATTGCAAATATCCCGAACAGACGCAGGATGCCGCACTGCATATTATTGTAGTTGAGAAGGACATTGGCCAAATGCGCTGCCAATAGGGCGTAAACTCCTCCAGATGCTCCCACTAGGTACACGTTGGTATCGAATACCGACGTTCCCAAGGACCCAGCTACCACTCCCGCCATGTAAATGAGGGCCACTCGTCCCGATCCGTGGACCATCTCCAGAGGCAGCCCTACCAGCAGCTGAACTACTAGATTGAACCCTAGATGGAGCCACCTGTAATAAAAGAGGTCACAATGAAAAAAAGTCATGATTATATGATGGTTGTCTTTTATATTTTGCATATAGAAACATAGTAGACGCCTGTCAACATTTATCAAATGTCGAAATTAACTGTCATCTTTAGTTTAAGTTAACTAAAGATTAGCGTTCCATTTCTTATCTGACCAGTCAAATTCGGTCAAAATGTCTTATAATTATTGTAGAATGTTATCTATCATTATTTAATAATATGGTATTATATAATTATTATGCGTTTGTGATGTCCAATTTACCTATAACCGTCTTCAAGGAATACGATACTTAGCGATTCGGAGAATCTCAATAAAAATATCGGAAAAAATAACAACTGCATCAGTAATAAGAAGAATTGATATGCCCTGTACCGACACGCCGACACGCACAATGCAGCATATTTACTCGATCCTAGATATAAAGGAGAGAATCTATTTCCAGAGGAACTCTATTTCCTTGAACTTGGTATCAATGAATCTGAAATTGAAATACTTGGAGAGATATCAAATTTTAGAACAGCATCAAATGCATTCAATAATCGAATAATATGGACAGCCGTAAAAAGTACCAAATCAGTATGTAAAACGTCGTCAGATATTACACCAACAACTTGGTGGGACAATTGGCAGAATAAATCGGTACTTCACAATGTTGCAACAAAATTACTAAGAATGCCGGTCTCCTCACTTGTGAACGAAACTTGTCAACTTAGGGAATTGTTCATAATAAATTATTAAGAAACAGGTTGACCACTACAAGATCTGGTAAACTTGTTTATGTTAAATATAATTTAAATATAATAAACAAAAATGGAAGGGATACTGACCTCAATGTAAGTTCATCTTCTGAAGCTGACATGTCTTCATCTTCAGACATCGACATCCATGACATCGACTATGAAGATGAAGATGAGAACTTACCACTGTCTACTTATGTGAATTAATTGTTTGTTTTGAATTAGTATAAAAGTATTTTTAAAATAACTTTTAAATTAATGTTTTCTGTTAATTTTAAGTTAAAATAAAAACATATTTTTGTTAATTTTCTAATTTTATTTTTTTTTTATTTTAAAAAGAAAATATTCTTTATTTATACATTATTTCAATGATTATGTGAAATAAATATTAATTTGTTTTTATTTGTTTCATTGTACTTTTAAAATTATTTTGGTCATCAACTGAGATTAACTAAATCTCAAGACAATAATGAAAACTTTCCTCCGAGATTTGTATACTGTTTTATTTACAACATCATTAATTAAAAAATAGGAACAGTATTTTATTTTGAAAAAAAAATAAATATGCTTAAATTTGCCAGTACCAGTCGTTATTATGACGCAAACCTTCAACAGCAAAACAAACAACTAAGTGAAAGAATTTCATAGAAAGCCAGAATGTTGTCGGAAAGTTCTGATATTGAAGACTACTTTAATATTGGTACTCCACCAGAACTTACAGAAGCTACAAAAAGAGCAGAAGCCAGTTTACTTCCAGAGAAAAGTAGGGGGCGATATGAAATAGCATTGAAAGTATACGAAAAATGGTGTGCCGAAAGAAATGCTAAGAATATTGCTTCGGAGAATTGCTTGATGGCATATTTCAGCGACATGGCAAGGCAGAAAAACCCATCTACTCTTTGGACTACGTACAGCATGATACGGATAATGCTAGAATTAAGGGAAAAGACTGACATATTAAAATATCACAAACTCGTCGCTTCTTTAAAACGCCGGAATGTAGGTTTTCAGCCAAATAAGTCTCTAGCATTTTTACCTTCAACAAATAAATGTAATAAAATCTTCAATTCGCTAGTTTACAAAGTTTAACTTTTTTTATATGCCCCGAAATAAATGCACATAAATATGTTCATCTACCTTCCTAAAACCTAAAAGTGTTAGAAGAAATATTCTATCACGTCACAATTTCTTGCTGCAGTCAAAAGTTTTTTTTTCGAATGCCTGACGTAGTGAGGACAGTTTAGTGTTCGTTCGCTTCAAACGATATGAATTATCTTGTTTCGGCTTGATTTAAAATGTCGAGTAGAATATGTAAACAAAATTCTGATCGTTTTTGTTATGTTTGTGGAAAATATATATTATAAAAGAAGAGAAGACCTATTGTTAGATTCGTTAAAATTTGCATATCTTCATTATTTTGGATTTCCTGTTGCAAACCAAGATAAAAAGTGCCTCATGTGTTTTGCGAAAGCTGTAGATACGTCTTACTCCAGTGGTCATCAGGACAAAATGTACACCTTCCATTTGGTTCATCAATGCTATGGAGAGAACCTAGTAATCATGAAAATGATTGTTACTTTTGTTTTACGAAGACATTGGGATATACTTGTTGGCCCACCAATCCGTAAAATTATGAAAGATTCCCAGTTTGCAAGTCTTTTATCTGTCAATGAAAAATCTGCTTGGAAGTCATTTCAAATGGTTGTGGAAGAATTTTTGAGAAATAAAAAAAGTGGAAATTACAAAGAAATTGTTACCGATTTATTGGAAAATTTTCAACAGATGGGAGTAAACATGTCATTAAAGATTCATTTTTTGCACTCGCATCGACTCGAGTTTTTTCCCTGACAACTTAGGAAGTATGAGTGACGAACAAGGGGAACGTTTCCACCAAGATTTAAAGGTTTATGAAGAACGACATCAAGGATTTTGGGGTGAAAACATGTTAGGGTTTGACTATTGGTCCATTATAAGAGAAACTGATTCAAATAGCTATAAAAAGAAGGCAAACATTTGTCATTTTTAATTATGTATTTCAGTTAAGTAAATAAATATGTATTTCTTAAACCAGATGTGACAGAATTTTCTAATATTTTTTCTGGATAATTCACCTAAATAAATAAGAAAATAGCAACTTTCAGCTGGGGTATGAAAACCATGTAAACTAGTGTTATTATTGTTAATCTTCTTGTTTATTTTTGTTGATGTTAGATAAGTATCTATTTAATAAAGATATTACAAAAAATATTTTGCTTAATTAAATGAGGCGAGAAATAAGAAAAACCGAGTGAGGGAAATGGAAGAGCGAAGAAATGTAGATAATTTGAAACTTTCAAATTTTCAAAAGTCAGTAATGTCGAGAAATTAAAATAATTTTGGTTGCATATCATAATACGACCACCAGCAAACTCCATAAGACGCCGCATGGTGTCACTGATGACGTGCAACCAAAGTTGTTTTAATTTCCCTCTATGTGATTGTAAATAAATAATTTTATCTACTCTACTTTTTCAGCTCCTAATGTATATGAATCCCTTCTACTTGACTCGGACCAATCCTTTTCGAGAAACTGGTAATTTTATAGAAACTGTATGCTTGCGAGATCAGTGAAATATGTCTAGACCTACTGAATGTATTCAACTAGCAAAATGAAACGCATGAACAACAAGCGCCAATCCCTTTTAGAAAAAATCACAAACATCGTCATTAAATAAAAAAATAAAATGGCACACCATCTATGTCCATATGCAGTTTACCATTTTAAAGTAATTACAATTTTTTTCAAAGTGTGCGTGTGCGTTCTAGGAAAGCGTGCCACATGAAATCCTAATTGACACTGTAATTTGTTAGAAACGGAGCAATTTCTTTTAATTAGTTTATTAGTTTACGTAATTTGCACCATCCTGCCGTAAAACGTCTACTTCCTCGACTTTATAGAAGACACTTACGTTTAGGGTTTTTCAGCGTTATCTCTAATTGAGTGTTAAATAATAATCGGACGGTCTCAAAAAGGAGACGATTATGCGTAATGACAGTTGACTGCAATCCTTACACGATACATTTTAACTTGCTGTTATATTTAAATAACATATCATTAAAATAAAGAGGAGAATGCCATAAGTAAATGTGTATTTATACATAAACAGGGTTGTTCACCATATACGACACGGAGTATTGTAGCTAAACGATTAGATTTTTACAAATTGTAAGTTTTGGGTTCGTTGAAGGACTATTAGAGCTACGATTTAAAAATATTTTTACAAGATACAGAGTGTCCCAAATAAGTAAAAAATACAGTTGTAGGTATTTTTTAAATGGAACACCATGTATATTATTCTATTTTTGGATTCTACGATTGAAATAAAGGTAAATTTGATTAAGGTTTATCACACATAAACCTTACCGTTTTTGAAATATTTTCAATTTTATGAAATTGCAGTAAAAATTTTAAGGGTTCATTTCTCCAAAGGTATCAAAGTTTTTAATACTAAATATTTACTGCAGATTATTTATTCATCAGATATTGTGTTGCAATAATAAAAATTTTACCACCTTATACAGAGTGTCCAAAAATTTATATTAAATAATTACTAGCTTTTAACGGCAATAACTTGTTTAATTTAAATGGAACACCCTATATATTTTACGTGAATCAGATGCACAATGTAATTGTCTATCAAATTGTATTATACCATTTTTTACCCATTTCTTCAAGTTTTCGTAGAAAATGCATTTTCTTATAATTTAGACCTCATTTATCACTATACCCATGGAATATTGACATTTCAGATTTTTTTAAAGCAACATATATGTACAAAATGTATTTGCAAGCCCATTGGCATACAAAAAAAACTATTTAAATCTTTGTGAAAGAATATACCAATTAAATATACCTACCACCATTATTTCCGACCAAAAATTAGTTAATTACATACATTTAAATTGTTTTAATTAATAAAGTATTCTAAATAAATGTGAATTTGGCTCAGAAATCAATATAATAATAAGTTATGAAAATGAACGTCTCTGTTTTTATAAACAAAGAAATGTCAAAGTGTTTTTAAAACGAAAGAAAAACGATCGAAAAAAAGCAACTGAAACTAGTGATTTATAAATACAAAAATGTTGAACTTCAGCTACTGCGATCTCCCAGCCGAACTGAACCTCAACTGGGCATCAAACTTCAAATTAAGAATTCATGAATTCAGCTTCAGGGATTTGACGATTTTTTACAACTTGGATTAAGAGTAGTTTATTTGTTTATATCTAAAACACGTAAAAAAGTACTTACCCTGCGTGTAGCAACATGTAGAACAGAAACCTCCATATCTCTAACCTCTTGTCTGGTCTATAAATAAATATGGACTCTATTATGGGCACTGGACCGGCAGGATTCAGTTCTCCCGTGCTCACGGAGTAATATATGAAAAATCCCAACTGCAAAGAAAGAAAACTCATTAGAGAATCGTATAAAAAAATAATTAACTTTATTGACTGAAACTGATCCAAAAATCTTCAAATAAAAATAAATAAATATATATAAAACTTCTTTATGAATTATGAGTTACAAAAAACAGTGTTGTCTAGTGTGCTGAAAACCAGATATTATCCTGATGTTAGAGTGTTCTCACCTGCCAGTCTCACTGAAGCAGTCTGATTCAATGTTATGTCAAAACACGTTCTCAGTAATAGTTCTACATTTGTTCGTTTTAGCTGAAACTTTTCGTTCAGTTTTTCAAGTTTTGAGAAAATATTAAATGAATTGACTCCTAAAACTAATTCCTTCAATACAGTTTCAAGCAGCTTTTTTACATAATACCCACTGCCTGATCCATCATCTATGACATTTTCGTCGTTTTTGATACATAAGAATATTTAGTAACTCTATAGACTCTAGAATTCTTCTCGAGCAGCTTGTAATTTTGTGGACATTCTAGACGGTCTAGACCAACTGAATGTTTCACATAGCAAAATGAAACGTACCTAGCCAGACTGATAGGTAAGAACCCGTCTATTGAGTTCACAGGTTCTTTTTTTACCTCTGAACAAACAATGCATACCTTAATAAGATAATCTAATTGAAAAAATCCCCATTTACTAGTTTAATATGTTTATCCGATAGCCAAGCAGCCTTAAGAGCGTTCAGCTGAGTAACGATCAATTCGAACTTGGTCAAAGGATGCCTAGAGAAGTCTGACACATTAAACAAAGAAAATAAAGTCCGCCTACTCTGGATGGCTGCTCATCAAGGTATAGAAGGTAATGAAAAAGCAAACAATCTAGCTAGAAAAGGAGCAAACACTACTAACTGGACCAGTGGTTTCTTCTCAAGTGGAAACTAAGTTAAAGCGGAACTCAAAAACCTGGAAGACTCCATATCTTAACCTGGAATGGGAATTTTCCTGAACCATCACTCATTAATGAATGAACCTTGTCTTTATAGAACGCTCTAATGGAAAGAATCCACTTGCTATGCATTTATACGTTATTAAATATAAAATTATCGTGGAAATGCCTTATCTGGCCCCGGCCGAACTCCGCCAAGGAAACGTCTTGCATAACAAATAATGCTTGTGTTCTTTTTTAACCTCTGTCGACTCTTCCCGCACGCTAATTATAAAATTACTCCAGCGTGAAAGAAAAATAACGACATGCCGATGGAAAACAATGGGCAGACTGAACGGGGAAGAAAACCGTGGGTTTTCTCACACAGCCCGGCCTCTTGCAATGTTCTTGTCCGTGGATTAAGATGAATTAAAACGCTATACACATTCTGAATATATTAATAGAGTCAGTTCCTTATATTCTACAGGGTGGTTCGAACTGTATTCCGGAAACTTCGGCAGCATATTCTGCAAATAAAAATATGTAAAAAAGTTCGTATAGGGTGTAGAAGTTTCATTTTTATTTCGATTTTTTCCAAATAATTTCTGAAGTAACGTCAACATTTAGATGAAAATAGCTGTCTGGGAGTTTTTTGGTATGAGAAGTTTGATTTTGACACCAATATGACTTCTATCTGTAGGGGGCGCCACCTACATGTGTTTTAACTGTTTTGAAGAGTAATAACTTTTCGTCCGTAACTGTATAAAACTACTGAGTGAAAAAATATACATCTCCGTGACTTTTTACGTAAAAAATGTCTCTTGGTAAAAATTGCTGCAAGCAACCATTCTTAAGATATTTACAATGGAAATAGTCAATACATGTCATTATTGACAAAAAATAAACACGTTGAGTAGAGATTGTTATTTGACTGAAATCATAAATTTGGTAAATTTTTATTTTTTTAAATTAATCATAAATTTTTCTGCAAAAAGATGATGATAAAACAGTTTCTGTTGAACTTTTAGCACAACTACTACTGAGTCATAATAGGCTCAAAATACACGGTTACTGAGTTATAATAGGCGGCAATAGACGTCTTCAACCTTATCAAAAATTCAACAAAACTGTAGCAATAATTGACGAAGATGGCCAATAGAAGACCAATGAATTCTACACGCCAATAGAACACAGCCCAAAAGTAGAAATGCTTTTTCAGTGCCAATATCCTAGTGCTGAAAAGATATGAAGAGACATGTGTTTTATTTTAAATCTGAGAATATCGTAAATATCTCGAGAGTTTCTTTATTTGCTCGATTCGAATTCTAAAGTAGCACAATCTCGAAGAATCTAGTGCTTTATAGATGATACAGGATAAGATACGAAGCTCGTTGAAAAATTGATGGTTTGTGAAATCTAATACATCGATGAAATATTTGAAATATCTTAGCAATTCCTTCTTTTTGCTCGATTAATTCCAAAGCTCTTAGAAGCGAAATTGTCGCACCTTCCGACGCCAATAGATTTTTCTGTCCGCCCTGAGTAACGCGGCGACACGACATTAAAAACGTTTTCCCGCGCGTCGTCTTGACCGGGTGACATTTTTTTTAATCGTCCTCTTTGGCATCGCCAGTAGAGCCGCCTCGTCCGACTAGTTCTTAAAAGCGTTTTTACCCGTCGTAAAAATGAAAATAACGTGAGAATCTAAACTAGTTGACGGCAATAAATTCGTTAATTACGGCCGCTAGGTTGTTAATGTCGCCCAAAGAGGGTCAAAAGCAACAGAGAAGAAGATACGGGCTTTGGTAGTGCTAGAAGAGGAAGAGTCGTCAAGTCAAGGATTGCATGTCATGAACGATCATTGCCGCTTTGTTTGGTCAAGGATTATGTTCGCGTATGTGAAGAATCTAAGAAAATTAAAGAAAAAACAAGAGGATAATGACACGTTTTATAAATTTCTGGATCGAGTAGGAAGTAGACAGAATATCTCGCCATTTTGTTAAGAATTAATTTCATGTAAATGTTTTTGCTCGTTCACGCGTTCTTAAATTGAGGAAATAGTAGTGGCTTAAAAATAAAGTATGTAGTAGTAGAATTAAAAGAGCATTCCTGAAACATTCAATGTTTCATGATCCCACAGCTAGCTCTTGGTCTTTCATTTGCTCAAAACTACACTGTTAAAAAAACTGTACTGTTTAAACTCATGCTAGATAACTATTGCCTGAAGGCAAAAACAGCAGAGAGATGATGAATGCTGACAAGGTTTGAAACATAAAATAAACATTTCTTTATCAATTAATTGTTATATTTGCTCTGAGAAGCCAAACAAAAAGCCATGTCAGGATGTCTGAGGCAAATAGTGTGGACAAACCCCTTCCCCATGCGAATAGACAGCAAAATTAAAATTTATAAGACCTGCATCAGACCAATAATGACATATAGCCCAGAAATCCGAGAGGAAAGAAACAAGACCAAAAGCATGTTAAGAATCGCTGAAATTAAGAACCTAAGCACCATAAGGGGGAAGACTAGAAGAGACAGAATCAGAAACACAAATAAGAGACAACAAGGTGGAATACAGGGCGTAGTGAGGTGGAGTAGGCAAATATAAAGACAATGGTTTGTACACGTAAAACGCATGAAAAAATAACAGGCTATAGCGCATGGCACTTGAAGGGAAACCCACGGGTAAGAGACAGCCGGGAAGACCTCCAAAAATATGAAAAGACAGTTGGCAGACAGTCTCCCAAGAACTCCTACAGAGGCTACTTTAAAACAGATCGACTAAGTCTCAAATAAGAAGAAGAAGAACAGCTATGTTCTTCTGCCTAGCTTGCAAAACCAATAACAACTCATAAGTACTCCAGTATAAATCCAAACGCCGAAATATACGTACTGCCTCGGTATGCGTGTAAACACTACTCACCAAATTGAAAGGGACCTTTTGTTTTATACTTACTATCGACATTGACTTTATTGTACTTCTGATAAAGCCGTTCGAATAATCACTTTCAGAAAAAAAAATCACAGTGATATTTTAACCAAAGCTTATGTACAGCGGTATCGATTGACAGATAATACCAATAAACCTAACTTTATTAGCCATAAAATACCGAACAATTTGCATATCGGAAAGTATGAAAGTGTTCATAGGAGTGTGTAGTAGGCGTATGTTTATTTTCTTATCGGTATCGTGAATTCCTCAAATAATTACTATTTGTGTTTGTAAAGCTCAAAGCTTTATAAAGTTTCTGGAGTCTATATTGGTCGGTAATGTTTACAATCACTTGTACTTAAATTAGTTGAATTGAATACAAACAATAGTTATTTCTATTTTGTTTTTAACTATTTTTTTGGAACTATCGGGTGTCTACACCTACTCAACAGTTATTAAGGAAACATATGTGATTTGAAGAACCTCCTTCGAGCAAAAACGAAATTCCAACCGTGACCTTCTACAGAACTTTAGTACCATTTTTTTCACACCGTAATTACTCTACCGTACCGTACCGTGCCACACTACAGTTACAACCGCATAAATTAAAACATTAAATTAATGTTATAAATCCACACTTACGCGCTATAATGGGGCGTTTTAAAATATTTATATTCCATAAGCTGGTCATTACGCCGTTGCTGTACCATATAGACACGCCTAATAATGGTGTGAAATAGTGTTATTTTTAAATAAGAAAATCGATATATTGGATTGCATACAACCTGATTTAAATGGTATCACTCTTTCATTAATTACATTACATTTCATTACAAAAACTTACTTATTACTTTCTAAACAAAAGTCTCGATCCCTCTATGTTGAACTTGCTTAACGTGCCAATTCCACCCGTGATTTCATCTTTCATTAGATTTATTCTACCGCATCTTCTGATCGCTTCATTCACTGCTTATCGGAATATTTGATGTTAAGGGTGAAACCTTTGCCGCCCTCGCACTTTGTTCAGGACTTGCACTTTGTTTAGGCAGCGATCTTTTAGACTAAGTTGGTGTTTTTAAGTATTTTGGAGTAAGTTCATAATATATTTACGTCCCGTGTAAAATAGAAAAAGGGATTTCTTTTAAATGTTTCCTAAACATTATTTTTCTTTCGTAAG